TGTGTGTGTATACCTATATAAAAATTTATGTCCGTGTATGGTGTATATATACACATACCGGCTTAATGCTAACGCGTAAAGGGTGCGAGCCTGACTGTCATGACATCGTACATATTTCAAGGCAAATCTACAACATACACTACATACATACTATTCTTAATCACCCCAATCGCTGATTCACCTATAGCTCTCAAGGACAGACAAACCAGTTTAAAAATCCATTGGAAATTTGGGTGTACACCTACCAAATGCTGCACTAATAGTTGGCTGGCCTTCTCATATGTTGCCTTTCGGTTATTAATTTGCCTGGAAAGCATGATCTGGAACGTGGAGGAGAATGATCGTAAGTTCTGATAGCGTACGCCAGCACACTATTGCTATCTTAAAATGACTCAGCCGCAGGTACCCAGCACGATATTCGCGCACGTGTATTTCGATGCCTTGTGATTGTACATCATATAGCTACGATTATTCTCAACTAGTAGAAATATTGGTTACTGTAGATTATCATGGTACATGCGCCTTTACGAACGAGTATATGGAAACTAGACTTCGTTTGTATACGCGCGTTTACATATGCATGTTTGCATTGATGTACGTGTTCAATACTCCGATTACAAACACGTTTCTTAACATTCCTTGAACAGACTAGCCGATACTTCGTTTGTACAGGCGCGTTTACATATGCATGTTTGCATTGATGCACGTGTTCAAATTCCGATTACATACACGTTTCTTAACATTCCTTGAACAGACTTAGCGCAGTCGAAATGCAAGAGATACACATCATAACAATACCATTGTGAAAACATGGTCCAGTACACGCACGCATACGTGTGCGCTTCCAGGCAGGTGTATGGCGCAGGGCATGCATATATGCCGTCTATATACGTATAACTTTGCGGGAGATCACGTGACGTACCTTGTTGTGACTATCAATCCTCGCGTTGATGCGATCGTCCACGATTAGTGTAGCCAGTGTGCTTTGCAATTCGTTGACCTCGGTGTCGCACGCCGTTGCCATTTTGGTGAGACTGACGCACTTGAACGGGTGGAAGTACTGAATCATGGCCTATCAAACGAACCGGAAAGGGTGAGTGTATTTTAGATACATGTGCATGTAAAGTAACAAGCATTCAGCTATAATTACGTCGGGCAAAAGATGGGAGGTTATTTGAATTGGTACAGAATATATGGAGGGAGTGACAAATATATATTTGTTGGAAATGAAGAGAAGAGTAGGTATGACGTGAATACACACACGCTCGCGCACGCACACACAATCACACACACACATATAT